AATCTGTTTCCATTACCCCGCACTGATTTCAGAGATTGTACAGTAACATTAATTATTTCATCTTACTTATTGTTATTATTAAAATGTATCATTGATATTTTTGTAAATGAATTTTACTGGTGTATGTTATTACAAAACATTTACAAAAACGAGAAGCTTCGGGAGCAAAAGGGTTATTTTCCACTTGTCTGGAAAACATTGTAGGGAGAAAAGAGACTTCAGAAACAAAATAGCAAGTTAAAAATTTCCTGTTACTTTCTCCGAACCTAACAAAGTAAAGATGTTGCAATTTAATGCATTTATATTCAAGACGTTTTAAGTTACACTTTTTAAATCGATATAACTAAAGTGATGCGTTGTACATATATCTAGTATATATATATATATATCTAATAAATAAAGAGAAGCCGCGTCATCAGTGTTATGTTTTAGTTATTTAAAATGTTATAGGACATTCTAAGAAAAAGTTTCTCAATCTTAGGTGCATCAGCTTTATTATATAGATTTTTCTTTCGGTAAAATATATGCAATTACATGTAAACGATTGTTGCATATACATATAATTGTTATTGTAAAATGACTTCTTTTGTCCCTAAAGCTAACTTATGCAAAAAGACTCTTCTGTAGCCCGTTACTGTTTTCGAAGCTGGAGAGAAAAAACGTCGAACGTTCTATCTTCGAGATTGGAGCAGTGAATCATCCTGAGTTAGCTGGAAATGATAGAGGAGTGTAATAACTACTTCTTTGTTCCCATTTAGTTTAGTTTAGTAACGGAAGACGCGAGTACCCCCCTCTATCATGGCGGTTAATTGGTACAGCACCGCATCCCCCTTTATCTATAACACCCCAAGTGGTATTGGGAAGAGTGGGGGCCACACGAAACCCCCAGAACAGTCACCGAGACCCAGAATATTTATTGAATATCATGTAAAAATAAATAAATAAATAAAATAAAAAATAAAGTAAAAATAATAATACGTGGAAAATGCCAAACAAGGGCCATGGCAGATAAGTACTTTGCCACAATTACTGTGTTGCAGCATAATATTGAAAGAGACATTTAGTGACACAAGTTATCTGATACTACGTGAAATATTACTGGATGATACTTAATGATACTAATGACATTGGTTAACTGTGTAAGTACTACATTTAGACTGTTGCATAATACACGATACATGAAAACTATATGTAACATGAATCATGAAGGCATGACTGTTGCCTCCTACGCAGCAATATAAGTTATGTACAGCGCATTGTTTCTGCGCAACTTCAAAGTTATGTACAGCGCATTGTTTCCGCGCAATTTTAGTTAGTTAAAATTCGAACTCCTAGCGTAGCATACATGTTTTGATTCCCGTATGGTCGGGAATTTATCATTTTCGATTTTCAGGTTTTTTAGTTATGATACAGTCCACGAAATAAAATTGTTGTTGTTGTTGTAAAGTTGTCTATAGTATACAGTCTAACCAGCGACCTCAAAACAGTGGTCAACGTCGAACTGCAGCTAATTAGAATAAAAAATGGCTAATGAAAACATAACTACGTTGAACAGAAAACGCGGTGGTATTAGAGTACAAATAACGAAATTAAAGTCGTCTGTCAATGGAAAAAGTGATGATTTTGGTTTCGAACAAATAGAAGTATTGCAAGAAAAAGTGCACAAGTTAAATAAACAAATTGATGAACATCGCTTGGATTATTACAAAGTGGGAAAGATGAAGAAATATCAGACATTGAAGCTACTTTTGAAGAAATCCAGATGTATATTATAATGTTCAGGTAAGCCTGTAATGTCTTTATACTTCATTATGTAGTAAGAATGCAAATAATGAGTATGCAAATAATAGTATCCCAGAAACAAGAAGTAATTCACTGAATTATAAATTGCCTGAAATAACATTACCTAAATTTTCTGGCAATTTCGAAGACTGGAATTTATTTAAAAACCAATTTGTAGCTTTAATTTCATCTAATAGACAATTAACAGATTCTCAGAAATTGTTTTATTTACAATCTTGTTTAATTGGTAATGCAAAGCAGATACAAACAATAGATGATATATTTTTTTCCTTATATAAGACACTTGAAGAAAGATATGATAATAAGAGACTGGTTGTAAATTCTCATATCAATGAATTACTTTCTATTGAAAAAATAGTTCATGAAAATCCTAAAGATTTATGCTCATTAATTGATAAAGTTCAGAAACATTTAAGAGCATTAAAAGTTATGGAATTAAATATAGATAAATTAAACGAAGCTTTGCTGATTAATATTATTCTCAATAAAATAGATAAAGAATCGCGTAAGCAATTTGAAATGTCATTAAATAGTAATGATTTATGTGAATGGGATTCTTTCATGACATTTCTTCAAAAGCGATGCCAGATGTTAGAAAATATGCAAAACAAAACTGTATTTGCAAAAACAAAACAAAACATTCCTCCAAATAAGGTTCGATCGTTAGTGACAAAGACGAATAATAATAAATTTATGTGTCCAGTTTGCAAAGATAATCACGCAATTTTTAAATGTGAAACATTTCTAGCATTAAATCCAATGGAACGATATGAAATGGTTAAAAAGCTTTCTATGTGCATTAATCGTTTACAGTCAAATCATAAAGTAGCTTCCTGTCAGTCTAGACACTTTTGCTCGGTTTGCAAATTAAAACATAATTCACTTCTTCATCGGAATGAAGCTTCCATGTCGTCTGCAACAAGTGGGGGAAAGCAAAGTGAAACTACGCCCTCCCCAGAGAACCGCAAAAATGAGGCTGTTTTGAATAGTAATGAATCAACAGAAAAGCCTTATCGGCGTGTCTTTTTTCGAAAAATAAAACTGTCTTTTCAACTGCGATTGTTTAGGTTAGAAATACATGGCCAATTCGTTAAAGCAAGAGCAGTCCTTGATTCAGGATCAATGTCAAATTTTGATAGAAATGAAATCTGTGAGCGTGGAAATTTAAAAAAGGAAAGACTAAATATTCTTTAGTTTAAATGGGCAAATTTCAAACATTAAATCTCGTACTTTTGCTTCTATTTTTAATGGAAATAATTCGTTCTCTGCTTCATTAAATTTTTTAGTTGTAAATAAAATCACAGATTTAGTACCTTCTACAAAATTAAATATTAAAAATATAGATATTCCTAATACATCAAGTTTGGCTGATCCAGAATTTGCAACTCCATCTAGTATAGATCTGCTTTTAGGAGCAGAAATATTTTATGACATTTTTTATTAATGGACCAATTTAAATCTTCTACGAAATCACTCGTTTTCAGAAATTCTGTGTTTGCTTATATAGCTACTGGTTCTTTGAAATCATCCCTTGAAAATAGTCAAAATTATTGTGGACTTATCGGTAATGTTGATAATATTGATAGATTAGTAGAAAATTTTTGGTTAGTTGAAAATATTGGTGAAGAAAAGCCAATTCTTAGCCAAGAAGAAGAATTCTGTGAACAGCATTTCAAAGACACTTACAGACGAAATGAAGATGGCAGATTTATCGTAAAAATGCCTATGAAAGACGAACAATTAGGAGATTCAAAGCACTTAGCCAACATTAGACTCAATCAATTAGTTAAACGTCTTAGCAAAAACGTTACATTGGAACATTCATATCAAGATTTCATAACAGAATATGAAAATTTGGATCATATGGAAAAAGTCGATGATAACTGAAAACCGGAACTTGAATATTACCTCTCCCATCATGGAGTATATAGACCAGAGAAGTCAAGTACAAAATTAACAGTTGTGTTTAATGCTAGTGCCACAAGCTCAAATGGATTAAGTTTGAATGATTTACTTTTAGCGAGAGCAGTCCAAGAAGATACTTTTGATATTCTTGTGAGATTTAGAAAACATCAAGTTGCAGTTATTGTGGACATACAAAAAATGCACTGGCAAATTTTAGTTGATGAATCCCAAAGAGACTTACTTCGAATCTTATGAAAGAGAAACCTTAGCGACTCACCTGTAACATATAGACTCAAAACGGTGACTTATGGTACTGAAAGTGCTCCATTTTTAGCCATTAGATGCATTAAGCAAGTTGCATATGACGAAATGCATAAATATCCTGAAGCTGCCAAAGCTGTCTTGTCAGACTGTTATGTTGATGATGTCATCTCTGGTTCATCAAACTTAGAATCAGCAAGGGAATTGAAAAATCAACTTATACAGCTTTTTCATAGTCGTGGAATGACATTGCACAAATGGAACTCTAATTCTCCTGAACTGTTGGATAGCCCTTCTACAAGCTCTGAGCTTTCATTCTCCTCCAAAAGTGATAATGTGGTTAAAGCTTTAGGCATTACATGGAATTCTTAGAAGGATGAATTCAGCTTTAAAGTCTCAATCAAGGAGAAATCATCATATACCAAAAGAGACATTTTATCGACAATTGCCAGACTTTATGATCCTTTAGGACTGATTGGTCCGGTGGTAATCACCAAAGCCAAGATATTTTTACAGAAATTATGGCTTCAAAAACTGAGTTGGAATGAACCACTTTTTGCAACTATTGCTCAAGAATGGCAACAGATAGTTTCAAATTTAAAGACTGTTGAAAACATAAAAATTAATCGTTGCATCCTTTCCAATCATCCAAGCAAGATTTCACTCATTGGATCTGCAGATGCTTCGGAAGCCGCTTATGGTGCAGTTGTCTACTTGATTTGTGTCGATGAAGATCACGGCTCGTCATCTCATCTACTAGCCAGACTGTTGAAAACATAAAAATTAATCCTTGCATCCTTTCCAATTATCCAAGCAAGATTTCACTCATTGGATATGCAGATGCTTCGGAAGCCGCTTATTGTGCAGTTGTCTACTTGATTTGTGTCGATGAAGGTCACGGCTCGTCATCTCATCTACTAGCCAACAAATTTCGTGCGGCTCCATTGAAAACCTTATCTATTCCAAGATTGGAACTTTGTGCATGTTTGTTATTGGCTCATCTGATTTCGAAAGTTAGCAACTCATTGAAGATGCATTTAGATGACATCATTCTGTGCACTGATTCAACGATAGCACTGTCATGGTTGAAGACTTCTCCTTATCTTTTGAAAACCTTTGTTGCAAATACAGTCTCCAAAATCCAAAGACTAGTAGAGCCACGACAATGGAAGCATGTATCATCAGCAAATAATCCGGCAGATCTGATTTCTCGTGGTGCTTATCCTCATGAACTTATGAAATCTTCCTTGTGGTGGAATGGTCCTCAACAGAACGAACTTAGTGATGCTTCTTTACTTGAACTTGACAAGACTCTCATAGATTCTCCTGCTTATCAGGATGAACTTAAAAAACCTTTAGACGTTAATTTGAACTGCAATTTAAACTTGTTTTGGAATACCTTTTTTGAATTAACAAATAATTATATTAAACTAATTAGAATCTTAAATCTTATTTTCAGGTTTTCTGTCCAATCTGAAAGGTTCCAGTGAAGAAAACAGGCCCCATTAGTAGTACTGAGTTTCAAGATGCGGAAATGCACTTGATAAAAAAATGGTTCAGGTAATAGAATTTGCAGAGGAGATTAAATCACTTCCAAGATCAGAGAAGTTAATCAAAAGTCAGGTAAAAACTTTAAATCCATTTTTAGATGGAAAAGATATATTACGTGTGGGCGGTCGCTTAACTCATGCCACAATTAATTATGATTCTAAACACCAAATTTTATTGCCAAAAATCATAAGCTTACTAAGCTAATATTTATTCATTATCATTTGGAAAATTTTCATTTTGGCCCTCAAGCGTTGTTACATTTTGTTAGGGAAAGGTTTTGGCCCATTGGTGGCAAGGACTTAGCTAGAAAAATAGTTCACGACTGCTTAATTTGTTTTCGTCATAAACCTATCATTTCAGATCAATTAATGGCCGATTTACCTCCTGAACGTGTAAATTCAAATCTAACCTTACATACACAGGGATAGATTTTGCAGGTTAAATTAACATAACACAGGGATAGATTTTGCAGGCCCTTTTTTTAATCAAATATAGAAATCAAAGGAAAACTAGTTTACATAAAGTTAATATAGCAATCTTTGTTTGCTTACTTACAAAAGCGATTCATTTAGAAATAGTATTTGACTTAACATCTGAAACCTTTATTGCATATTTAAAACGATTTTTCTCGCGTAGAGGTAAAAGCTAATGTCTGTTTAGTGACAATGCAACTAATTTTGTAGGAGCTCTTAAAGAGTTAAAGAAACTTGCTTCTTCAAGTTACTGTCCCTGATGACGTTTTGGGTAAGAATTTGGCATCTGAAAATATCTCTTGGAAATTTATTCCTCCTCGTGCCACGAATTTGGGTGGAATTTGGGAGGCCGGAATCAAGTCTTTTAAATTTCATCTTAAAAGAACCATTTCCGATGCTAAACTAACCTATAAGGAATTTTTAACCATAATTGATCAAATTGAAGGAATACTAAATTCGAGACCTCTTTCTCCTTTATCGTCTGAACCTTCAGATTACGAACCCTTGATGCTAGGTCATTTTTTAATAGGTAGACCCATAAACTCAATTGTAGAACCTCAAATTTTGGACTTGTCAGAAAGCAGATTGTCAAGATGGCAAAAATTATCTAAAATGATACAGGTTATATGGGAACGATGGCTAACTGACTATCTTAATCACTTGCAACAACGAAAGAAATGGTATTTCTCAAAGGACAATATAAAGAAAAATACATTGGTTATTATTAAAGATGATCAGTTACCTCCATTTAAATGGTTACTAGAAAGAATTGATCAGACAATTCCTGGTAAGGATGGTAAGATACGAGTAGCAGTCATTAACACAAAGTTTGGTCCAATTAAAAGGCCAATATCAAAAATTTGTTTATTGCCTATTGAGGATAACTTCAAGGATTAATTTCTATTGTTAATAAAATATACATTGTTCTTTATCGTACTTATATTTTGGTAATTTTATTGAAAAAATGTGAATTTTCACTGTTTGAAATGTTGATATACTTACCCTAATTATTGAAAAAATTTGCAAATGTTCAAAATTTATCGAATATTCTGAATTGTTTATTTCATTCTGTAAATGATTTATTAACTTAACGACTTTTGTTAATGCTTAAAAAAATGAATAGCTGAATTTTTAGCATTTGATGTTGAATTGTATGCTTTAGTTGCATATCATAGATATTGCAACGTGGGGCGGTATGTTGCCTTCTACGAGGCAATATAAGTTTATGTACAGCGCATTTGTTTCTGGTGCAACTTCAAAGTTATGTACAGCGCATTGTTTCTGCGCGCAATTTCCAGTTAGTTAAGATTCGAACTCCTAGCTTAGCATACATGTTTTGATCCCGTATGGTCGGGAATTTACCATTTTCGATTTAGATTTTTAGATATGATACAGTCCACGAAATAAGATTGTTGTTGTAAAGTTGTCTATAGTATACAGTCTAACCAGCGACCTCAAAACAATGACTATATTTTACATACAGACCACAGACTAATGCTACATAGAGGCTACAGACTACATACCGCAAAAGGTCTACAGATTACATGATATAAGAGACTAAGAGATGCCAATAATTAAATAATAATAATTATAATAATAGAATACATTTACCATGATTAACTGATGCTGCATATAATATATCAATAAAAGGTATATGCTTCTGATTGAGTTACTTTGAACTATATGATACATTTGATATTACACGATTTTGCACGATACAATATATTGCTGCATTCTGTATGGTATAAATATATAAAGCCATATGACATCTAACTTTGAATGATATACATGATACAGGATAACTTATTAAGCTTGATCTTATATGATGCGAATGATACTAAAAAATTACATACTGTATGGCACCACGTAAGGCCGACTGGGGAAAGCTGCAAGACTCATTCGACAATCTCAGCATTGTAATGTATTAATATCCATCACATTTTTAGTTCGGGCGCTACTGTAGTGACGATTAGATATACCTGAGCATGAAAGCTGAAATTTGAGCTGTGCACTCAACGGGAGGCGAGCGTCGAATTTCCAAAGCTAGTTCAAATAAATAACCACTTACATCATTTGTGAAATGATAACCGCTCACAGACTAAGCAAAAAGCCTAAAAAAGAACGTAAAAGAGACTGAAACACGTAGATGGTTTGGTTTAGTTGATTAAGTTGATACTTAATCTATATGCCTAAGAAGAGGGATGCTTTCGTGGAGGACTTTCTAAGGGAAACTGGTTCGTATACACGTTACGCATTAAAAAACCACGAAAACACCCATGAAGACAGCGCGTTCGTCGAGATTCGAACCTCAGACTGAACTACCAGTGTTCAGCGACTTTACCGCTCCAGCAAAGCGTGGAATGTACAGCTTATCAACAACAAAAATCGACTGCATGTGCAAGTTAAATCTGTATCATAAAGGATGTCAAATCACATTTTGTTAAATATATTCTGCATAGATTTAACCAAACAGTGTTTTTAGTTTCAATCAGTACTTGGAGTGCTAAATTTAACTTTGATTTTTCAAACAACAGTAAAAACTTTTTTTCTATTCCTGAAAGAACGATTTTTGATCAACTAAATTTACAAATTTCACATCCAAATTTTCTAACAACATTTCTTTTGATGATATTCATTGTAATACTGTTTACATCTGTATGAGGTTTAATATATACAACATGCTATTGAACATATAAAATACTTCACACATTTTTTTCAGATAATATTTTGATTATTTGCTTATGCTACCAGTTGATATATTCTTAACAGTTTGTGAATTTTGATTAAATTACTGTTACCAAAATACGAATATTAAAAAGACCGTCATTCTTATGTGATGAAATGTATTTTATGTGATGATATGTGTTTAATGTCTATACAAACGGGAGTAGGAATATTTAGTGAAACCGAGGCGACGGAACATACTGCAGTCTCAGTGGAACAGAATGTGTCAAGAACGTAAATGGATGTTCATAGATAATGAGGGTACATTAGTGCCAACGAATGAGGTAGTATGTTTTTGATTTCCCTGCATGAGAATAGTTATCAGTTAGCTAAATGTATTTATAGATGAGGAAAATAAGTAAACTAGTATGTGTGTGGAAAGTACTGCTTTGTTACAAATATTCTTTACGAAACCTCAAGTAAAATTTTCTTTTATGATTCTGCAGTGCTAAGCTAAGAAATCAATATGTAAGCAATAAATCTATACCTTATATTGAAAAATTACACTTCGCCAATATATGTTACATCGAAGAATCAGTATAACATATTGCATTGTCACTAAACGTTTTGCGAAGCTTCAAGTTGCTGAAGTCGCTTTGCGAAGCCAATGCTGTAACATTTTACGAATTGTTTACTTCTTAAAACTAATATCATTTTGGTAGAGAAGTAATTAAAATCCTATCACAATACCGAAAACCCTAAATTGCATATATATATATATATACCTCAAAATTCAACCTTATTTCTTCTTTAAATGGATAATTTTTAGGCATTTTTAGATGAATTCTTCATCTTTTCTGTGGCATTCAAAGACAAAGATGGGCATGTCTTTATTCTGCATGAAATTAAAAAAAATATTGCATTCAAAATGTAATCTATAATATTGCAAGAATATGTTGATTAACTCTAGTATTTGAAGATATGCTAATAATTTGAATAGAATATTAATATATTTTCAGACTAGGGTTATAGTAATTCCTCTTTACGTTAAAATGATAATAAAATACTAAATCAGGGCTTGCCTTTAAATTCTGTTTGAAAATTATGAAAAATTAGAATTCTCTCTTTGTATAATATTATTCCTATCCTTCAGATCTCATTAAAGACATGAGATGCTACCTTTCGCTATTTTGTTCGCACACTCTTCGGCGAATCACTTTATTCTCGTGCATTCAATTACGTTCAAGTCTCGAATATCTATTGAAACTAATGTAGCTCTTTCGGTGTCATGATACTTGTAATGTATAAGATATTAAAGATATGGAACAATCTATTGAAAGGCGTTTCAGTTAAAAACGTCGACAGTAAATATTTGCATGCCAGCAACTCAAGACACGAATATGCTATTTTGCCTAATAAGAAGTTAGCATTCCATGACAGCGCTAATGAAAAGCAACGTTAGGCTTATGACCTAAAGTTTTCTTAATTGTATTCAGCAGAGTTGGTAAATGAAAACTATGAACGTTACAAAACAGCACTTTCAAAGAATTCAGTGCTAAACGAAATAGGAAAGAACTGTCTTAACGTGAGTATATTTTGCAGCAGTAAAGCGTCGAATGTTACTCAGCACATTTATCTATATTTCAAATTATTTCGAATCAAGTAAAAAAGCACTTTAAAAAATCTGGTGGCAAAATGTATTACACATGCATAAAACGTAGACAGATAACTTAAATTCTACAACCATTTAGATTAAAATAACATTATATGCTCTGGATAGAAAGGAAATCAGATATTTTGATCATTATTTATCAAATATAC